AGTATATGCCATAGCTTTAAAGATTGATTTAGGGTCCTCTCTCTCTAGGAATTGGTTCTAATGGTCGCGTTTAGCTATTTTGACAGCTTGTAGATAGCTATTTCTAGCTATTAGATAGTCTCTTTTCTAGGTGTAGGCACTTGTTAGGCTAATAGCAAGTTCTCTCTGGAGTTGGCGTTGTTTGCTGAGCATGCTTGTCCTAAGTGCTTTTAGGTCTTGATTCCACTAGGGCTTGCTTTTTGCAGTGGTAGAACATTGTGGAATTGCTGCCTTAGCTGCTTTAGTTATAGCTGTAGTGAGCTCTTTGGCTAGTGTTTCTAGCTGCTCTTCTAGGTCCTGGTCTTCTCCTTTGATAAGTGCTAGAGATCTGCTCGTAGAGTAGTTTGGAGTGCTTGCGTTGCTAAGAGCAGAGCTGTTTGCTATCTCCTTTGCTAGCACTTTACTAAATAGGTTCCAGTTTGCTTTCTTTATGTTAAACCTAGGAGCAGGTTTTGTAAAGTTATAAGACTTTGTTCTTATAATCTTTATCTAGCGTATTTCCCTCTTAGGTATAGCGCTATGCTTACCTAAGCATTGCTATTGTAATCTCTAAGAAGAGAGGATTAGAATGGTGTGCTTACGAAGCCTGTATCTCCTCTCGTTCTTAAGATATGCTGTTCTCTATTTTTAGTAACTAGAAATGTTCTAGACCCTCTGCTTACAAATAGAGTAGCCTACTCTGTAAGATGCTGACGTATACGATTACGCATGCACCTACGTAATCTTGCTTGCATATACAGCAATTCTAAGCATAGATGCAGTAGACCCACCTAGAGGAGTCTAGAACGTTCTGCTTAGAAATACAAACAGAGGAGAGGAAGCATAAATACCTCTAGCTCTCCCCCCTCTGTTCGCTCTGTACCTAGCCTAGGAATCTTTCCCTAGTATCTAATATAATAACTTGTCTATTATATTACATAACCCTACCTTACCTCTATTAGGCTATACGCTTCCTATTTAGACAAAGCTAGTCTAGATTTGTCTAGGTCCTTCTAGACTAGGAAGAAAGTAGTCTAGTCCTTCCCCTACTTTCTTTACAGGTTTGTTAAGTTGCTGTATTCTAGGTGTCCTTATTGTAAATAAGATGCCTAGGTGGTCAGAGCCAATTCCTCCTAGCATTTGCCAGTCTTCTATAAGGTTTGCTAGCTGTGTTGTAGCAAAGGTTAGGTCTAGGACACTCTCTCTATTCATGTTAGACCTAAAGAAAGTGCCTGTACTAGGGCTGTTTAGTAGCTCTAGGTCTTGTTCTTCTAGCTAAGTAACAAAACTAGCTGCTCTTGGTGTTATAGTAGCTACTATAGGGTCCCACTATGGGTGGTTAATATTAAAGTCGCCAAGCAGGATGGTGGAGGGCAAGATAGAGGTACTAAGGAGCTTTCTCTCTATTGTAGTAATGCCTTGTGTGTCTAGCTGGTTGTAGACATTGTAAATAGAGAAAGTTGTTCTAGAGCTCTTAACTATAATAGCTAGGAAGTTAGGATCAGGGCTAGTGTCTGTTAATATAGTAACTTGCGCTTGTATAGTGCGTGTAGAGTAGACTAAAACATGTAGTCTTGTGCTGTAGTCTTGTAACAAAGGAAGGATTTGTGTAAAGGAGGGGTAATTTACAGAGCATGTATCTAAGTAATCTAAAGGAGATTATCTAGCAGGAATAAGCTAAGGCTCTTATACTAGTATAAGGTCTATTGCTAGTTCTACTGCAAGTTGCAAGGCACTCTCTATTGCTTGTGTGCTCTTGTTTAGATTTACTTGTAGGATGCTTAAGTTGTCTAGCATTCTAGGTTTGTTTGCGCATTTAGTGTAGCTTTATAAGCTGCACATTGTGTGCTATCTGCAGTGTGTGCCTCTTTGCAGTTTATGCACATAGGTAGAGTGTGTGCACAGGTCTTGCCTCTAGCATTGCACGTATTACACTTGTGGAGTGCTGTAGGGTGATCCTTTGCACAGATTTTACAGGTAGTGCTATAGAGGCACCTAGTCTCTTTGTGGTTGTAGCGCTGGCAGTTTTGGCATTGTGTAGAAGGGGGTGTAGCAATAAATCTTTCTGCTTTAATGCTAGCTCCAAGCAGGTATAGTCTGTTTCTAATAGCCTGTTGTGCTTCCTTCTCTGTAGCAAATGCTACACAGGCAGAGCCTAGTTGCTGTCTCTGTCTTTTATCTCTACTTGTTATCTAGAATAGGTTTCCAACAATAGTTAGGCCTCTATTAAAGGTAGCAATTTCTGTCTTTAGCACCTGTAGGTCTTGGTTTGTTGCAAGAGATGTAGGGATGTTGTGTAGGATTACTTTGTGCCAGGGCTCTATAGGGAGGGCTTCCTTATATGCAATAATAGATTGCTAGATTACTTGATTTTCAAGTAGGTATTTTGCAGTAAAGGTAGGTGTAGTAGTAAGCACAATATTCTTTCTTAGGCTTAGCGTAGCAGATGCTTCAGCCACTCAAGGCTAAGCGCGTTGTTCGTCCAGCCACTCTCGGAGACAGAGAGCTTCCAATTGCGTGGTATATCTGCCTCCTCGTACTAGGCAGAGATGTGAACGCGTCCTTTGTAGATAATGAAAGGCAGGGTACAAGATCTAGCAGCGCAGACGCTCTAGATAACTGTTACCTACTTGCAATTACCTAGCTAAATAAGCTAAGGTTAATTACATCTCTCTGCGCCTGTAACAACCTTTATTAAGCTGATAACACCTATCTAGAAGCTAGTCTTGTTAAAGTTATGTATATTGTGGTTGTGTACACTATATTTAGCTTTTGTGTCCTCTACTAGCTTAAACCACGCGCTAATTGTCTCTAGATCCTCCTGCAGCATCCTCTGCCTATCTTTAGCTTGATTAAAGGTTATCTTGAGCTTAGCTGAACGCGTTACGAAGCGCTCAGCCTAGTGCTTGCCAACAGGCTGCCCACCGCGTACACCTAACAGTTTGTTGGCCATATCTGCCACCTCGCACAGCTGGGGCGCGAATCCTTGCAAATTAAGGTTAAGAATGTATTGTATAATTATTTGCTCTTTAGTGCGCGTGAGCTTATGTTGTGTGTTGCGTCTATTATTAATATAGAGTCTACCTCTATACCTAGTAACGTACCTCACAGGCGAGTGGAACACCAAGCAAGTGGAACACTTTTGCCAAGCCCCCACCAAAGCCCACCCTATTATGACCTAAAACACCACAAAACGGCGCTGCACAAGGCAAAACAAGCTGTAATATTACTTAGAGACTACTTCTATATCAGTCTTGCACGTTCGCGCGTTATGTCTAGTCTTACTACACTGTCTACAGCGCCTTTAGGTTGGCTCAGCCCTATTAGCGCGCACCTGCTTCTTTGCCTTCTTACTATCACTACGCGCCCCAAACTCTGTTAGAGCTATTAATTACTAGCCCTCCTTAACTATTAGGGTCTCTTTTGCCTAAACTTGCTTTCTTTTATATAATTTCTGTTGTGTAGCTGCCTTATTTACTGCTTGAAGCTTGGCAATCTCCTGTTGCGCTAAAACTAGCTTGTGCATAACTATTGCTGCACCCTTAATGTAATGCTCAAGCGCGCTTATTATGGAATTTAGTAAGCTACCCTAGTATTTCTTAAACTTGTCTTGAATTAGAGTAGATTATAAGTTAAATTCTAGGGTATTGCTTAGGGTTTGCGA